CTAATTTAATTTGAAATATATTTGATAACCTTATTTCAATATAATTTCAATAACCAATTATAACCTTAAAAAAATTTATTCTTACTAACCCTAAAACAAAAAATTTACCAAGAAAATCAATGAAAAGAAACTAAAGGAAAAAAAACCAAAAAAAAAAAAAAAGAAAACAAAAAGGAGAGAATTACGTAAATCAAACTAATCATTTGTTAAAAAAAATAGCATATCAATTTAAATATAAAAATTAAAAATACAAAAATTAAAAAAAAAAGAGATTAAAAAAATCAAAACATAATCGACAGCCACAATGGTTGTCGAATATACTAGCTATAATCGACAGCCATTTCTGTCGATTATAGCAGTATAATCGACAGCCACAATGACTGTCGATTATACTTGAAACCCGCCCATTCTCCCCAAAAAAATTAATCTCCCGGTTAATTTAATTTGAAATATATTCGACAATCTTATTTTAACATAATCGACAGAATTTCTGTCGAATATATTTTTATTATATATTTCCGAATAACCCTTCCCCGCCTCAGAACATCCAATTGCCTTGCATTTCCAATTTTCTTATTTACAGTTTCTCCAACCTATCTCTTCTTCTTTCTTTCCCAGGTAAGGCATTATTTTTTTTTTCAGCCTCTTCTCCTTTTGCCCTTTTTCTTTCAACTTCTTATACACTTGGGGTTTTGTTTCTTTCATCTTTTATTTTCTCAACTATGAATTCCTACTATTTGATATATTAATAGCTAATTTGTTTTTAATTTGTTATTTTTGCAGATTGTATTTCTTTCATTATGGGGTAAATTCTTCTTTTAAATTTGATTTATTCTTTTCATTTTCTTTTATTTCAATTACGTCATAATGTATATCAATAATGTAGATTCCATTTCTTTCTCTTTTTGTGCAGAATTTTTATCTCAAAATAAGGTAAGTTTTTACTTTAGTTTTTATTTATTATTTCTTGTAATGTTAGTTTATAGTTTATAACATTATTTCATATATACTTATTCTTCTGGGACTTGGATTTTGCTTTGAATTTCAGCTGTTGATTGTTTGTAATATGACTAATAGAAATAAGCACAAATAAAAATCACAATGCTGCTAGATTCTGCACCAAATTTTTTTTTGGGTGACAGTGCATATAATCGACAGCCTAATGCTGTCGGTTATATAAGTAAAAAAAAAAAACATAATCGACAGCCAATTGGCTGTCGATTATATTGCTTAGTATTTTGCAATTTCCTCTGTACCATTTATAATCGACAATATTTCTGTCGATTAAAGACATATAATCGACAGAAAATTTTTTTTTCGATTATAATGATTTTCGACACGAGTTTATGCGGCAAACAGTGCTGTCGATTATGTCTGTCGATTATAGTTATAACTGACAAAAAACAACTTATAATCGACAATTTTTTCTGTCGATTATACCCGATTTTCTAGTAGTGACTGTACTTTTTGTTTAAGGGCTGTTTGATTGGAGGAAACTTCTCCTAAAATTTTTCTAAACGTTTTTTATTATAAGATTATTTATATATTAATAGTGTTACAAAAGGGTAAAAGTAATATTTTTAGATTTACTTAATATAATTCTCAACTTTAAATAGGGACATTAATGTAAAACTTAATTGATAATTTTCTTACCAACTTTTCACATATTAATTTTTTACTAAAAATAGAAAAGTTAATTACTCAACAAAATTATAACAAGATTTCACTACAAAATTTATTAACTTTTATATAATATTTTTCTAATTATTTGTTCAATAAAATTTTTTTAAATAAAATTGATCCTTTAACTAAGCATGTCTTTATTGGCAAATTCACCCCTTAAATAAGTGGAAAATAACCCCTTAAACTGGTTAAATGGTGGCATATCAGTCCTTTACTAACTTATTCCATCAAAATGTAATGAGTGCTCCTTAGGATCCGTTTGGTATAATGGTTTTAAGGTAACGATTAATTATTTTGCCTAAATCACTAAGTATAGATATTTGGTAAATATATATATTTTGAAACTATTATAGACAAGGTGTTTGGTAAAAATTTTTATTTAGTAGTTTGAAACTAGCGGATAGCTGTTAGAGTTCAAACCACTAGTAAATTGAAAAAGTTAATTTAGATAGCTTTTTGTATCAAATTGTTAGTGGATTAAAATTTTTTAATTTTATTGAAAAATTTATTTATTTTAATTTTTAATTTTTAATAATAATTTTTAATTAATATTTATCTAATAAGTTTCAATTTTTTTAACCTTTAATAACATTAAGTGATTATAATATTTTTATTTTTATAGTAATTTATCATTAAAAAAATATTATCTTAAAAAATAAAATTTACTAATTAGACACAATAATTATTTTTTATTTAAAAATAATATAATTTTTTCTTTGTTAAAAAATAAAAATGAGGGTGTAATTACATTATTATAATTAATTTAATTAATTAATTTTTTTTTTGTAAAATTAATAATTTTTATAATAAAAAATAAAAAACATTTAGAAAAAAATACACTTAATTGTTTTTAATCGTGCCCTTATTAGTCATTTAATATTAAATAATAACTGTTAACTATTGTATAATCGAACAGTTATATCTATCGAATCCGTTATTTACTATTCGCTAACCGTTATCCGTTGAATTTTAACCATTTTACCAAACAGCCTTTAGAGTGGGATCCAATGCTAAGCATGATCTTGATGCGGCATGACATTGTTAAATTCATTAAATTCTAAAATGAAAAATGCTTATCTTCCATAAAAAGAGAGAGAGAGAGAGCGGAAATTGCTTACCTTTAATTGCTAGTTAAGTGAAAAACATTTCTAAAATGTAAAAGAATGCATTACTTTTTTTTTAATTAAAGAATAAAAAAGAATAAAATCTGAAGTTCATAATAATATATTTATAATAATATTATTTAAAATTCTAAATTTACTCTAATTTTAAAGGTTTTTTTTTAATAGTTTACAATAGTTGGGGAAAGGGGATGGGGATTTTTAAGAGGTTGGTGGGGTTTGAAACCTCAACCAACTTAACCCATACGTTTAAAGGCTTAGGGATAAACCATTTGGTCTCAAAAGCCCGGTTCTAATTTTAAAGGTTTATTGAATGGGTAAACATATAATATAAATTCTTAAATAAAAAAATTAATTATATAATTATATACTTATATTAAAATGCAATCTTATAATCTCATGTCTTATTATAACTATGCTCAAACATTTTCTTTCTCCATTTTTTTCATGTGGTTTTCCTTGAATTTCTAAGCCAAAAGACTAGTGGATTTTTTTTTTTTAAATGGCAAAATTTTTTTTTATTAATAAAGTATAAAGGGTATTTTAAACCCATAAGCATCTAAACATGTAAATTTTTTTCTTTTGTGCACCGTTTACATTGATTTTATTCTCATTTCCAACCCAGGCCCTTTTAAATATTTGTCTATATACTCATCTCAAGCATTCCCTTGGGTTCACCAACTACTCTTAAAAAGGTATCATGTCTCCTACCAACTTATCCGCTGCCCATTGATATGAACGTTCCTGCGCTGTATCAAATAACTTCTCCACCTCCACGGATTCCTTTCTGAAAACCAAATCATTTCTTGCCAGCCATATGCTCCAAACTAGAGTGAACCATATTAGTTCCCATCCTTGCTTGTCTCTTTTGTGTTTGGACACAATGTGATGTTGTTGAAAAGCTTCCTGAACATTTTCATGAAGGACGAACAGGAATCCCCACCACTAAAGAAGAGACCCCATAATTTTGTAGCCATATTGCAGTTTAGAAAAAGAAGATACGAATTCTCGAGGTGAAAACCACAAACCCCGCAAGTATCATCATTTACATCCTTTAATGCCCCCCTCTTTTGCAAGTTGGCTTTTGTTGGAATCCTATTTTGTATTAATTGTCACACAAATGCAGACACTTTGCTTAGGTTATCTTTGTTCCACACCTTTGAAGATTGTTGTGTCTCTTGCCTGGAATTGGGATTGTTTGGGCAGCTTCATGAGCTCACTTATTGTTGAGATCTTGAAATGTTTTGATACTTGAAAATCCCAAAAAGTATTTTCAGATAAAACATTTTAACACTCAAGTTAGCAGTATTCAGTTATTTTAAAGAGAAACTCTCAAAACTAAATATTGTAAAGAGAAAATTGTAATAAAATTTTGACTCTTGATAGGAATAAAAGAAAGGCATTTGTAACATTCATCTCTAATGCATGAATGTCAGGCTAGAAAACTTCATACGTTGAAGATAACAGGCAATAGCTTTTGGATTATATATGCTAATCACAGAAGGCTTTAATTCTAAATTACCGGCAGAACTATTGGATTGCTTCTACTTGTCCTTGAAAAAGAAGGTCTCCATTATCAACTGAGTCATGATAGTGAGGACAATTAGGGACCCATGATGTGGCTCTTCTCTATAATTAAATTAGTCGATATATAGAATATTATGAGTTTTAAAAAAATAAAAAAATTAATTATTAAATAATATAAGATTTATCTTTTAATATTTTGAATGATATACTCTTACATTATGATTTTAAATTTTGATTCAATTTATCATTATTTTTTTTAATTATATAATATATTTCTTCTCAAACACAACAAGGAAACAAACTTAACGTTCGTTTAACAACAGTTTTTAATGTTTTATCTTTTAATTTTTACAAATTTTTATTATTTTAAAAAATATAAAATAATAATTAAAATAAATATTAAATACATAAAATATATTTTATATATTTTTGAGATAATAAAGAATAAAAAAATCTATCACTGCAGTTATAAGGTTACATTGTCAAACTATGCCTTAAAACTTTTGTGAAGGGTACAGATGCCTTTTTACCAGGGGAAAAAATAGTAACATGAAATCACCTAAGCAGATACAAAAAGCGATGTTTATAGTCAAAATTTAATACTCTATTTCATCCCAAAACAATAATTATTTTTACCTTTTATATTGAGGTTAAGAATTTAGAGATAATTTTTATTTTTATTTATTTTATTCTTAAAAAATAAAAATAAAAAGAATTTTTTATGAGATGGATATTTAAAGTTAATACATAATTATAAAGTTAAAACTAAATTTTTTTTTTTTTTGTTTCCTTCGAAATATGAAAAAACAACTGGGACATTTCCAAAACCAAAAAAATTATCTGGAACGGACGGATTAGTACCTCTAAAAAATCTTCTCTTCAGGCCGGCCTCCAAGTAGTTTCAATTGCAGTTTGTTTGAAAGAAGAAAAAAAGGGGAGAGTTAAAACCCTTTGTCCAAATAGCCGGCAAACAGCAGAATTCTTAGGTTGTTTCTTCTTGTCCCAGTAGGCAAAGATATTGTCAATATATCGTTCTCATTTTATCAATGAAAAGACATAGAACTCTTATAAAGAGGTGTTCATTCTGAGAATGAGATAACATTAGGATTGGTGGCTCATGGAGCTCCAATTTCATCTCTTCATCTTGTTTCTCAGTCTCACCTTGACTTTCCTGTTTCTAGGAGGAAAGGTTCTGAAAGGAGCAAGGGCTAAAAACTCAACCCCAAGGCTCCCACCTGGGCCATGGAAACTTCCTATCATTGGCAACATTCATCAGCTGATCAGCTCACTGCCCCATCACAAACTAGGAGATTTGGCCAACAAGCATGGACCTCTGATGCATCTACAGCTTGGAGAAATTTCGACCATTGTAGTTTCTTCCCAAGAAATTGCAAGAGAGGTTATGAAAACTAATGATATCATTTTTTCTGACAGGCCTTATCTCCTTGCATGCCGGATAATGTCTTATAATTCTGCTAACATTGTTTTTGCACCATATGGGAATTATTCGAGACAGATTAGGAAAATCTGCATGGTGGAGCTTCTAAGTGCAAACCGGGTCCAATCATTCAAATCAATCAGGGAAGAAGAGATGTGAGCCATGATCGAAAGCATATGTCTGAATGAAGGATCCCAACTGGATCTCAGCGAGAAGATTTTCTCGCTGACTTATGGCATAGCTTCAAGAGCAGCTTTTGGGAACAAAAGCAAATACCAAGAAGCATTCATATCCATCGTCACAGAAATAACAAAGCTGGCAGCAGGTTTTTCTTTGGCTGATATGTACCCTTCCAATGAAGTGCTTATACTGATTGCAGGGCTGAGGCCTAAACTGGAGAAGCTGCATAAAGTAAATGATAGGATACTGGAAGAAATAGTTAAGGAACACAGAGAAAGGAGAAAGGAAACAGATGGAAATGGTAGAAGAGAAAGAGATCAAGATTTGGTTGATATTCTTCTAAAGCTTCAGCGGAATGGTGACCTTGAATTTCCTCTGACTGACAACAACATCAAAGCGGTTATCCTGGTTAGTTTCTACGATTATTCTGTCTATCATTTAATAAAAGTTGGCTTATGTCCAAGAACATATTAATGATTTTACTGCTGGGACTCATTTTCAGGACATTTTTGCTGCTGGGAGTGAGACATCATCAACAGTAGTAGAGTGGGCGATGTCGGAACTGCTCAAAAACCCCAGGCTGATGAAGGAGGCACAAGCTGAGGTGAGAAGGGTTTTTGATGCAAAAGGAGAGGTGGATGAAGGAGGCATCCATGAGCTGAAATTCTTAAAATCAATTGTTAAGGAAACCTAAGGTTGCACCCTTCTGTGCCTTTTCTGGTACCAAGAGAATGTACTCAGAATTGTGTGATTAATGGATATGACATTCCTGCCAAGACAAAAGTCATTGTTAACGCATGGGCAATACAGAGAGACCCCAGGTATTGGAAGGAAGCCGAGAAATTTCAGCCGGAAAGGTTCCTGGGAAGTTCAGTTGATTTCAGAGGGACAGATTTTGAATTTATCCCATTTGGAGCTGGAAGGAGGATATGTCCAGGGATAACATTTGCACTGGCAAACATTGAGCTTCCATTGGCAAAATTGTTATACCATTTTGATTGGAAGCTCCCAGATGGGATGAAGCATGAAGATTTGGACATGACTGAATCCGTTGGTGTGACAGTGAAAAGGAAGAATAATTTGTTTCTAATTCCGGTTCCTTATCAACCAAGCAAGACTATATGATTAAAGTTATAGGTTTCTTTCTATGTATTAACTACGTTGCAGAAACCCTTATAAACAGGTACTGCCAGGAAACTAAATTAGTGTAAGCTCAAAACTAGTGAGAGCTCTATATTTTCTTCTTCTTTATGAGAAATTCAAAGTTTAATTTTCCATCACTAATTTAATGATCGGGATGAAGTGTGAAAGAATAATCTACTAACACTATCTACAATAATTACAAGACCTAATTTTTATTTTTCTTTTTAATTTTAGGTTACATAATACAACAGAACATTTTCTCTTTTCTTTACTTACTTCATTCACATGTCAATAACTTAAATCTAAGATCTCTTACTCCACTTAAAAGAGAGTTTAATTACCATTAGGCCTTTTAGGTCATTGGCCCCAAACTTAATTAGTTTAGATAGAAATCAATTATTTCCAAATAAGCTACTTAAACCTAGGAGAAATTCTCCAAAATCATATTCAACTATGGCAACAGGAATTGTCATACTTGCCCCTAAAGTCATAGCAAGTAGGGTAGCTTGTAAGTTACTCATGAGTTACTCGAGTCAATTTCAACTCAAACTCAACTCATTTTGAGTTTAATATTGAGTGTGATAAAAAAATATGCTTAAACTTGAGTTTAAATCAATACTTGTGAACTATTCATGAATATTCAGTTTAAAATTAAAAATTATATTATATATTTTTATCAATTTTAATATATAATTTTTTATATATAATTTAAATATATATAATAACTTACTATAAACTTGAGATTGAGCTTGGCTTTATTGTATTTTTATTTTTCAGCTGTCAGCTTGCAAGACTCGAAGAAAAATATGTTTTCTTTTGGATGGTGGCATATAATTTGTTGAATGAGTTTTAGTTTGAACTTTTTAAAACTAATAATAAGAATGTTTAAATGAAATTTTAAATTATTTTTTATTGTTATATTTTCATATAATACTTTTATTTAAACTTTTTATATTTTAATAGTTTATGAATATATTTATAGTTAAATGATTATTTATTGAAACAATTTAGAATTATAAAAAAAAAATTTGAATTCAAACTAAAATATTCACTCACTCAAGTATTCAATTTTGCAAGTAAACTCAAACTCATTCGAATATTCTCAAGTTTGAGCTAATTAATTATGTAGAACTCATCAAATACTTAAGCTCAAAACTTTTAAGTGAACTTAAGCACGTGTACTTAAGTATTCTACTTGGCTCAACAACCTTTTCTGTCCTAAATCCGTCACCTCTTTTATTTTGTTTGATATTCAAAATTGCGAATTGATAATACATGTACACAAATGTGCAAAATTGATTTTATAAACATCAGTCGTCCCCTAGACTAAAAAATATAAACCCTAACGCATCCAAAGTGGTCCCCTAGACTGAAATATGTAGACCCTAACGCATCCAAAGGCGGAGATCCGATTCCTCATTGCTGTCTGTTGTTGA